AATAATAATAATAAGAATAAAGAAATAAATAATTAGAAAACATAGTATGGATGCTGACAAAAACAAGGAACCTTTTTTGTCTGACTCATCTTGGTGATCACTCGGTGTAGGTGATGCTTCTTCTGCTGTACCTTCCACTGCTCCATCTGCCCCTTCATTACCAGCCAGCATCTCATCAAGACTCCTCAGCTCCTCTGAGATCTGCTCTACTTTACGCTTTGTGTCCGCTGGGAACAGAGAGAGAAAGAGTGGATTAGGAGGTATGGAAAGAAAGGAAAGAGTATTAAAAGAACACTAAACAGGTCATAGACCAGTATTTCATGTATCATTAACAATTAACAAGAACTGTCAAAAATATTACACCTTTATTTTTAACCACCTTTATCACTATAATTGGTATTACCACTGAGTTATATTTCTAAATGATCCTTTCCCACATCCTGTACTGCCTCAAAAGGAAACTTTATCCTGTCTTTAGGACACAAGACAAGACAGCGTTCCAATTCTGCACTACAGTGACCTTCATTTTTGGTGACTTACACACTTGAGCTTTCACATAGTCCATGTACTGCTGGGCACTTAACGCAGGCTGGCACACAATACCCTGGGGCTTGGCAGTGGAAGGTGGCCGCAGGAATGGGTGCTGGCAGGTCCGACTGGTGTGAACTGTCAGCACATAGCGGCACGACTGAGGCTCATCCACTCGGGCGATGTAGTCCCCCGAGCCTTCTTCACACACAAACTGGAAATAACAGAAGAAAAACATCTTGGTGTGTTTAGGCTATTTAATTTGGTACAAAATGCAAAGTGAATTCAAACTGACTAACTCCACAAAGCCACACAGGTAGTGTGGCATACAAATGGCTCCTGAATTCAAATGTCTCACCCGCACTTCAGTCTCTCTGGGATTTCCATTTAAGTCACATTTAGAGCCATTTACATAGGTCTGACTGTGGTAGCGCTTCAGCCTGTGCTGTTTGGAAGCCTGGGAAATAAATAGAAAAGATGTTTAAACTCAAAAAATTTGTCATACTCTTCGATGTTGACGTGTCATTGCACCATCCAGCATTTAAATATGATGCTTCTGATGTTTGGTCACTTCCAATAATTCACACTCTTTAACCTCTAGAGTCCCTGCGTCCTCATATGAGGACCGCACAGCTTGGGTTTCCAAAGCTCAGGACTCTAGAGGTTATCACTGAAAACTGACAAATCATCAAACTACAACAGCTCAGCTTATATACTCATGAAATTTAAAAACGCACCATTAATACCTATAATACAAATACAGGTGGTGTGTTTTTAAATTCCATTAATATACTATACAATCAATTTCTGTATTTAAAATATATACCAGAAAACCGAGATAAAACAACAACAACAAAAAAAAAAAAACACTGAGGCCATTTTACCTTTGCTGTTTCATTGTTCCAATCAAACTCAGACTCATAATAACCAAGAAAGAGAATGTCCCCCTTAATTTCTGTGTCTAAGGAGAGAAGAACAGAATCTGTCAAAGTAATGGTCATGAAAAACATAAAACAACAAAAGGTGGAAATCTCTTACCTTCAAGATGATACTGTCTGATATGTTGACCATGACAGAATTCGTATGTCCACCAGTCCTTTGTCTGTAGGAAGCACAGACAGCAAACATCTCAATATACAATAATTAACTGACACA